CTTGCGCTGTTGCTAAGAGAATTCCCCTTCCTACCCCAGTCAGGGTACCCTAATCATCTTGTTCCATCTTCCTGACTTTAAGGTGTCATCACTATGTCAATCATCTTCTCTTAGTCAGTATGTGCTATACACGCAAGTACAGTCATTGATTTTCTAAGGTATTTTCTAGGTATTTACCAGCAAGCACTGTGACTCAAAGGGCAGAGATTAACCTTTCAATGCCACTGTGACTAATGATTTGATTGGATAATTATCATTTCTGCTTTCAGTCACAGGGAGTGGTAAGGCTAATATATTAGATTCCTTTAAGGTGCTATAGTTTATTTTGTACTTTCCAAGAAATGAGCACATACTTGGCTGAGAACCCTGAAGAAATCAGTCCTCTAGAAAAATACCAGAGTGACTGTACAGTACTTTACACCTACAACTGCAGAATTTTCACAAAAGGAAGTAGCTGTATTGCTCAACATTGGAAAGGTGTTCATAGAGAATCCTTCCACTTAATAGAGCAGGCCAAATAACTCAACACCTTGCCATGGCTATTCACTTAACTATAAGTTTGAATTTGCTTCAGTCAAGTCTGTGTTCAGCTATCTTTTTGTTCATTTTTTGCAAATATGTTCGCCAGTAGAAATTTTTGCAGCAATATATTTTTGGAAAGTGAATGATGATTTTATAAATGTGAGTATTCACATCAGAATCCCCATTCTAAGTGTTGTGCTTCAAAATGGGTGAAAACAATAACTTGGCCCGCAGTATGTGTTCAGTTGTAGCTAATGCAGGGGGTGACATGCTGCCAGAATTTAACAACTGAGTCTTTCAAAACTGTTACATCTCAATGTGAAATACACGTGACTGTCCAGATAAAATACACTCTTTTTTGACAATTGTTCTTAACAGCTACAGCAGTGGTGGATCCTGTTCTCCATGGAGAACCCTCCATGAGGTCCCACAGTGAGAGAGGTAATATGGAAGGATGAATTTTGCCAAGTCTCACAAGGGGAAAAAAAAGTGGCACTGCCTTTCAAAACAAGTCCAACCCATTTCAGTGCTTGCTTTGTAATGAAAGAGGTGCCCTGGCACAAATTAAGCATGGCACACACCAAAAGGGGCAAGAACAGTGAGAGATTTTCCACCTCAGGCTTGGAAAGGAAAAAGCTCAAATGTTTGCAACAGAGTTTAACCAGGGCAAAGAGGGAGGGTGGGGGGGGGGGAAATGACGCACACATCTCTGTCTTTCTAAAGGCAACAGCCAACACCAGCTTCGCAAGGCCTCCCTCACCCTTCACACTGCAAAGCTTGGGTGAGGATCAGCGGGGTGAGCAGTAAGCTCCGCTAGCACATGAAGGGACAGCCAGGCAGTGAGCAAGGGGTAGGGGATGGCACTAGGACAAGGGAGGGAGTGAGGCTGGGGAAAGGGAGGTGGTGGCAGGAACCCTTTGCTAGGTGACTGACTCCCGCCAGTGGGACTCACCTCCTGCAGCGCAGGGGAATGGAAGAGGCTGGAGCAGCGGCACATGTTCCAGTTGGTGGTCGTGGCTCAGAAGGGCAGCAGGCTCATGGACCGAAAGGTGGCTGGCCGGGCTCCTGTGTAACAGGCCGGGAGCACTCCATGCTGGCCACTCTACTCCCCTTGCAGCACCCTGAGGGGCAGGGGCTGGCCAGCCCCCCGCCCCCATCCCACTTTCTGGCTAGATCCGCTGCTCTGCCACAGGTCTCAGGGCCTACCATGCCCTCCCAGCACCACCCCTGTCCCGAGGCACCCCTCCTCCCCAGAAATACAGCCAACCTCCATGCCCACAAGCCCAGCTGGGGAAGCCAGCCTGACAGCTGCAGGCAGTGAAGCCCACAGAGAAAAGGGTGTCTGGCCGGGCAGAATCCTGCACTGTCCCCAGGGTCATTCTGACACTCCCCATTCAGGGGGCTCTCCTAGGGGCAGCAATGCCCACCACCCCTCCCCAGAGAAAGGGATCTCAGGGGAGAAAAGGCAGGTTCCTGCCACCACCTTCCTAGCCTCGCATGGTATGGCATGTTGCTACCCTTACTGCTGCACTGATGCTGGCAGCGGTGCTGCCTTCAGAGCTCGGTGGCTGGAGAGCAGCAACTGATGGCGAGGCACCCAGCTCTTAAGGCAGTGCCGCTGCCAGCAGCAGTGCAAAACTAAGGGTGCCTATTACAAAAAAGCCTGAACAAGCAACTTCCAAATAAAACAAGTCCCAAACCCCGCAGCCCTCGGATCGGTGACTGGCAGTTCAATAAGGATGGTGATACTAAAAAATCCATTCAATCTGAATGCACTGAGCTACTGACAAATTCTTAAGTGTTATTTAACCAGGTGCTAAACAGGTGTCAAATTCTAAATTTTGGTCTTCTAATGCTGACGTTGTCAAATAAAAGACTGATGAAATAAAGAAAATATCTTTTATTCAGTACAATATTGTCTCATTAAGTATTTTTCCCCCAAATTTTTACTTAAAATAATTAAATCAAGCAATAAAAAAAGCCTCTCTGAGGTTGAATCCAGCTTGGACAAGTACACAAGGAATGGAGAGAGAAAAAAAGCAGCTACAAATCTTCATGCAAGCAACATTGTATGTGATGTTTGCATCCCGAAGATAGTACACAAGCAGCCATACCTGCCTAATACAGCCTGGTCCTGAACCACCCTCCATCTCACCATCAAAGGTTAATGTACGCAAATTTAAGTCATATAAAGTATTGTAATTATCTGTCCAGAATTCAATGAAAATTCAGTTTCATTGTGTCACTTGATCTGCATATTGTAGATCGTGGGCCAGATCCCTCCATTACAATTGAAGAGCTTACATCTTAAGTACTATTTTGGACCTTGTCTATATTCAGGATTTGTTCTGATTTCAATAATACATGAAAATTCTTCCTGTAGGCAAGGAAAGCAATTATTTGCACTGGACTCTGTTTCCAGCAGAGGGGGAGCCATAAGTATTGCTGAAGAAGGGGCTAATCCCAATGTACAAAAGGCCTTAGAAGGGTAGCCTTGTAAATCATGAATGGAAGCTATATGTGACCTCAATGTTCTTGAAAGGGAGGAGGGGGAAGAAAGGGAAAAATCTGTGGGTCTGATTCTCATTTGCAATAAGGGCAGATCTACACTTAAAACGCTGCAGCGGTGCAGCTCTGCTTCAGATACTTATGCCAACAGGAGGGCTTCTCCTGTCAGCGTAGGTACTCTATCTCCCCAAGAGGCTATGTCGACACAGCACTCTCTATAGTGGGGATTAGGTCAGTTTAACTGCATTGCTCAGAGGTGTAGATCTAATTTCCTAGTGTAGAGTGGAAAGCAAAAAGCACCACTCTGGCAACAAAAGGGGCTTTAATATAGGTACAAATGTAATTTACATTTACTTTTGGAACCTTTATATAACCAGAGCAGTGTTCGGGAGGTCTTAACATAAATGAGAATAAGGCCATTAATTTCTAGAGATTAATCCAACTAATGGCTCGTGAGGGGGTGTTGGTTTTCAGTGATTCTGAAGCAGAAATAAATGCTATAGCATTTAGAAACAATCATGACAACCTTTAAAATTTACCAATATTGTTAAATCCTTCACTCCCATTTTTCAGTACAAAGAACATATAAACAAACATACAGAAAATAAAGGAAGTTCTTGGGTTGACTGTGTTTCTACATCCAACAGTGTTTTTTTATGAGCATGTATCCACAGAATCTTTTAAAATCTACCATGAAACTGGCATTGTACTGCCAAAGAATGTCAGGGGCACCGGTTATGAAATTAAATATGAAGGTAAGTACGGTAGTCAGTGTCATAACTATAAATGGAAGGGTAACAGCTCTCCTGTGTACAGTACTATAAAATCCCTCCTGGCCAGAGACTCCAAAATCCTTTTACCTGTAAAGGGTTAAGAAGCTCAGGTAACCTGGCTGACACCTGACCCAAAGGACCAATAAGGGGACAAGATACATTCAAATCTGGGGGTGGGAGGGGAAGGCTTTTGTTTGTGCTCTTTGTTTTGGGGGTTGTTCGCTCTTGGGACTGAGAGGGACCAGACATCAATCCAGGTTCTCCAAATCTTTCTGAACAAGTCTCTCATATTTCAAACTTGTAAGTAAACAGCCAGGCAAGGCATGTTAGTTTATCTTTGTTTTCTCAACTTGTAAATGTACCTTTTACTAGAGTGTTTATCTCTGTTTGCTGTACTTTGAACCTGAGGCTAGAGGGGGGTCCTCTGAGCTCTTTAAGTTTGATTACCCTGTAAAGTTTATTTTTCCATCCTGATTTTACAGAGATGATTTTTACCTTTTTCTTTAATTAAAAGCCTTCTTTTTAAGAACCTGATTGATTTTTCCTTGTTTTTAGATCCAAGGGGGTTGGATCTGTATTCACCAGGAGTTGGTGGGAGGAAGGAGGGGGGATGGTTAATTTCTCCTTGTTTTAAGATCCAAGGGGTTTGGATCTGTATTTACCAGGGAATTGGTGAAGGTCTCTCAAGGCTACCCAGGGAAGGGAATTAGCTTTGGGATGGTGGCAGCGGACCAGATCTAAGCTGGTAGTTAAGCTTAGAAGTTTTCATGCAGGCCCCCACATTTGTACCCTAAAGTTCAAAGTGGGGAAGCAGCCTTAACAGTCAGTATGTCTGTTTACAGAGTATTCCATTGTACCTGACATGTCATGTCCTAATAAGTATGTGAGGTGTCACTTTAATAAGAATTAATTGTATAAAGCAGGTTAGAGAACTTTGCTGCCCAGTGACATTTTAAAATTAAAGCCGCTAGTAAAAAAACAACAAAAAGAAGTGTAAAGTTTACGTGGTCATTCACAATAAAGAGAGAAAGTCCAGATACTATATTTCAAAAATTCAGATAATTCTGAAGGATTTTGTTGAAATGAATTTCTTATATATTAAACAGATAACACAATTTCAAGAAAGCATCTTCTGCAGTGAAATATTTTAGTTCCTTCGTATAGAGACGTAATACACAATGTAACAACCATGAAAAACAATACAAAATGTCTTCAAATTTAACAAGTAGAAAAATATAACTAGTTTATATGGCAATTGTGAAACTAATACTGTACAGAAGTATTTATGGATTTTACAAATAAATTATAGCTTAAATGCCCTTTTTTATATAATTTCTAAGCGTACACTGAAACTTAGGCTCTGAAGCGTATCAATAACTTAACCCAAATTAGTGCCAGTCAAATGTTCTGCCAACAAGCTCAAAGAATTTCCTATTAGGTTCATGAAAATATTCATGCAGTTTATCAAGTAAATGAGAATCTACATGAGGGTGTGCTCTTCCTTTTGACTCATGTAAACAACGTTCCCTACCACTATCCCTTAGGCAATAGAAGCCTTTCGTTTTATTGAAGTAAAAGTTTGAAGCATTTATTTGAGGTGACAACCTTAGAAACCTCTCTACCTTCTCTATTTCTGGGAAAGGATCTTTGATTAGTTTATCCCCATCTACAATGTGAATGCAATCAAGAGGAAAATACTTCAACCAGTTTTGCATGTGAAAGTAATATAAGCTTCTGTTTATTGCCTTGTAGTCCACATTGAGTTCACCATCTTTAATCAGGAATTCTTCAATGGATGGATACGGCTTGTGCTTTTGTACATGATTATAGAACACTTGGGTGTAATCAGATAGTACTCTCTCGCTTGGGTCTCTTAAAATAAGGAGTAGTCTCATTGACTGGTTCATGTTATAAACTCTTTCAGGCACTTTGGGTGAAGTGAAATAGGCTGGGGTTTTTTCCACTGTGATCTGATGGGGATAAGAGAATGGCATTTGATTCATATACCACTGCAATCCATTTCCATAATGATCCTCCCAGTCAAAGAAATGGACTTCACTTTCTGCTGCTGCAATATCTGGATGGAGACTCAACATCTCTAATAAGGCTCTTGTTCCACCTTTTCTTACTCCAATAATGATAGTTTGTGGTAGCTGCTGGCAAGATCCATTAAAATGAATGTTTCCTTTGAAGTCATTTTTGAGAACTGTTTTCTTTAAAAGCTCTTTCTGAACAGATTGAGAAGTGGCCTCAGCCTTAGAAATTACAGCTGGTCTGGAAGGCACTATATGAGGTTGAACAATAAGCAGCAAAGCTCCTAGTAGAAGTGCTGCCATGGCAGAAGTTCTTAATCTGGTTTCACTCAACCAGGTAATAGGGCATGGATTGATTTCCACATAGAACAGTTTTGAAAAGTAGTGTTCCTTTTGCTGACTGAGCACGTATTTTTCAAGTAGAGCAGTCACTAAGGAGGAAAGAGAAACATGTTAATATATACTCAAATATATCACTGCTAAAAGCTACATTGTTATGTTAAATATCATCTTGCTTTCTGCAACGGATCAAACTTTCTAGTTCTCCCAAGGGTAGACTCCAACATCACAGGATATTATTAAACTTGCAAAGACAAGTAAATATAAGAACTGTATGAGAAAACATCTTCCTGCCATTTGGAGACAGAAACATTATAAAGTTTTCTCTTTACTCTAATATCTAAGATGCCTTTAAAGTATGATAATTTCTCATTTATGTACATGACTTCAATGGGTTTGCACTGGTATAACATGAAAATTTGATATCATTAACTACAAGTGTGAGAAATGCCTTGGAACCAAACCTAGAAAGATAAAGGGTAGGCCTGGGCCAGAACATCCCTGCTCCAGTTTTTGGCCCTTTAAAGATGTGAATTCTGGGAATTGTAGTCCCTTGAGTGGTCCGGTGACTGTAGCTTGGCAGCAGAGCCTGCTGGGGGAAGTCCGGCTATTTAAAAAAAAAGAAAAAAGCTGCCTATAATAGCAGGAGAGTTAGAGGGAGAATGGTATCTTACTATGGGGAAGCCTGAGAAAGGGCTGGGGACAAGGCCTGAGTGGGAGACCACTTGGGAAAAAGTGAAGTAGTGGGGTTTAAGTGAAGTTGACATCCAGTGCACATAGGTTCCCTGGGCTGGAGGCTGGAATAGAGTAGGCTCCCTTATGGTGCTATCAACAGAAGGTGGCAAACCCCTGCAATGCTGGGGAAGAGGAAGATGTGCCCTGAGTTAAAAGACTAGGAGTTATGTTTGGATTGTTGTTTGAAGCTCTTCTATGCCCTAGAATGGGAGGGATTTGATTTTCCCTGAGGGCCAGATCATAAACACACTAACTCTTCTGACCAGGCAGAGGAGAAACTGAAGTACATCTGGAAAACAGAATCAGGGCTGCAACCTCATCCTGGAACGAGGTAAGATGACTATTACAAATGTATTATAGATTATAGTGCACTATGCTTTTGAGTTTTGGAGCTTATCTTCTTGTGATTGCGCATGTTAGGTTAACTCTGAATGTTTCCGCAAAATGTTGAAAAAGTATTGGTGATGATAATTAGTCCCAGTCAAATACTGGAACACCCCTCATGGACATTACTGACAGTCACTTCATGAGGTGATTAGCAAAGTCCACAGACACATTATGATATATCAAGTTAATTTTCAGCAAGATGTACTGATTCTATAATAAGTTTTTAAATACTACAGTTAAGAATTAATACTCTTAAGAATCAGGATGGGTTGTTTACAAGCTGTTATCAGGTTGCATTTTAATTTAAGAAAATATGGTCCTATCTTTTGGTGCCCATTGTGATTCATTTTAGACACCAATTGGCCTGTTTTGTCATGTCAGATTTGGTGTGAAAATGCCAGCTATGCCAGTTAATTCTCTTTTGAGCTAGCCATAGGTGGTGTCTATACAAGGATGGTCTGCTGAAACTTCCCACCATTCCAAACAGCAGTGGGCTAGTATAGACCAGGTTAAAGACAGCTACCAGTTTTGTCTACCCCTAGTCAGAGTTTAAAGCCACAAGGAGAAAGCATCTGATTGCTGTGACCTGCTAGGGTAGTGAAATGCTAAGGTTAAGCATGGGACAGCCTGGACTGAACAGCCCCAAAAGCTGTAGCTCTGAGCTAAATGTCACCTGCCTAAAAGATTGGGGCTAGGTACTGGAAATGCTTCAAAAAGTCTGAAAAGACATTCCAGTGATGACTTCACAATAAGTCAATTCTCTGAAACAAGAACTAATGATAGTTTCTGGTTAGTAAAGGGCTTTTCAAAGTACTTTCCTTGTACAGTATTTACAAAAGGCTTGACTGCACCCCAAATGGGGGAGGTTTGCTTTCTTCAGTTGTTGCTAATGGTTACCTGAGCTTTACACTTTCTCTTGGTGGCTTCAACAATGGTTACAATTAAGCTATACGTACTGCTAGGAAGTTGGGGGAGGGGTCGCTGGTATAGAAGAACTGGAAACCGGTATAGAAGGACTGGTATAGAAGCATGGAAACCGGCCCTGTTGCAGATTGAGAGCAGAGTCATGACCTGTCCTACGGAGGAGCGGGTACCACAGTCTGTCTTGTGATGTATCACTCAAAAATGAGATCTAGGGAAACTCTGTAAGCTTTCTTTCCCTTTTTGCCCCATCATAGATAGATTTTATCAGGCAGCAATGTGGCTTTGTGTCCTTAATCTTTCTTGTATTTCCCCCCCCCCACACACACACACACAGAGTTCTTGCCATACCTGCAACCTGCTTATTAACTCACAAAACTATATCAATATGAACTAACTAAGAAATAATACCAAAAATATGGCACCCACTGATGGGGTTATACCATAGGGATTCCGCTACAGATAGCATAATTCATTCAGGATGTCTAGCATGAAGTTAACTCCACATTTTGTTGCAATGTGAGCAAACATTGGTGCAACAACCTGCTTAGGTGGGTGGTTGCTGGTCAGAATATTAAGACAACAAAATATCAAATCAATTGATTTTGAGGTAATTAAGGGAACAGCCACTTATTCCACAGTCGTATGTTTTAAGCGAGCAAGCTCCATAAATAGTAATAGTAAGCCTGTGTTTTCCTGTTGACCCCCTCAAACAATAGCTCAGCCTTTTTTCCTGCTGAACGCCTATTTTCTTCCAGCAAATTATGCTAACATTAAAGAGCCTGATTGAGCAAGCCTGTGTTCAAGTGTAGTCACATGAAAGTAAACTAGGTTACCAGTAAACCAATAGTTCTGTGCAATAATTATCACTTGAACTATTTATTATTTAGCAAACTTTAATGAAACAAACTGACTTTATTATCTTATGAATTATGCCTACCAATTCATCAGTCTCTCATATACAGTAAAAGCTGGGTTATCTGTCACTTTATCAACCAGCATTTTTAGTATCTCCAACTACAAATCTTCAATCTAGTAACCGGGACTAGTATACTGCCCAGGAGGTTATGCAATTGCACATTCTACACTCTAATTTTATGCAAAAGAAGCAGAAGATAAGTAAGCAAGCTGATATCAAGGATTTATTCAAAAAAAGCAGCTTCCAGGGTGTGTCATAGGGTCATTACAGATTCAGCCCAATCTCCTACACCTTCTACATCTACAATGATAATTGATGTTGATAATGATGACCCTGAGGCACTGCAAGATCCTGATGTGCCTTCTGAATCAAAGATTAAATTATGTTCAGTAGAGTTTTAGTGTTAAGTGTATTGTTAGTGATCTAGGTGTACACCACGCGCTGCCCATAGTGATATGTAGTGTCATAAGATAAAGTTTTCTATATGGTAGGTTACCTGTATACACCGAAGTGCTTCAAGAAACCAACCACCCTGCAGTGCAGTGCTACTACTGGATTGGTGAGTACCTGTATACTATTTTATACTTTATTCATTGTATTGTATTCTAATTCTTGGAAAATTGGTATTCCATTGGTAAGTATAACTCTTAGTTAACTGAAATTTTTGATTAACCGGCATCCTCCATCCCCACAAGGGATAACTGTAAATAGTGAATAAAAACAGAACCATCAACTGGCTGAAAGGATTGTTTCATGCCAGTCGTGCCATTTTTTTTTTAACCCAAGTCCTTTTACCTAGGAAGGGTATGACATAGGAATGGTTTTGGGGGAATGGAGCATACAGTGAAGAGACCCTACGCTGCTACATTCTTGGAGTAACGTAATGTAGTATTAGGCCCAGGCAGAATTAAATGTGCGGTATCATTCTGGCAAGCTGACCAGGTGGACCCTTGAGCCTCTGAGGAGCTCCAATGACTTCTCTTGTCTCTTCTTTTCTTTACTTGAAACACTTGTTTCAGATATTAAACAGCTTTGTATCATGAGACCTCATAGGAATTTTCCCATAATGTCAATCCATCTGATTCTTGCATTGCATTTTTTTTAACTAGATTTTTTATTTTTTTTACTATTTGTAGTATTTGTCCTCTTTGCACATGTTCAACTAACAATGTCCTCAGCTGTGCAGTTCAAAATATATTCCCTTTTGATTACTGAATAATTTGTGTTTGTTTTTTAAATGCACTCAGTATGTTAATACTTTGTTATGATTTGACCATTATTGGGTCACTTATTTTTGTTGCGCTGCAGTAAAAAAACCACAATATTAGGTGAAAGTTCATGCGTCATATGGGTGTAATTCATAAAGTGTAAAAAAAACAAAGCTGAAAATGGCTTAGAACTTAAAAATTGGACAGTAACAGACCATGAATCCCAGTGATGATTGAACCTGCTGATATTCTAAACAAAAACAGCTCTCAGCCATGCTTGTAGTTGTTTCCATCACTTCACACTAGCTCTACAGACATTCCAAGCTTCAGTGTCAATCTTGGAATTTTATATCAATGATAGACAGTAGCACTTGTGCATAATATTACATATAAATTTAACAAAACATTTGTTGTATGGGCAAAGTGATATCCATTAAAAAAATGCATATACATTGGTTTGTTACTTCAGCTTTCTCCTCTTATGCCCTCCTCAGGTGGATATTAGCCGAATTTCTAATGTGTATATTAGGATTGCAGCAGTTTATATAAAAATAAGGATGCTAACATACACTATATAGCTTTGCAATTTGCAAACCTGAGAAATGTTTTGGCAAGAATAAGCTCTTGAAGGTAAGCTTAACAGCTACTCTGCCAAATTACTTTCCTGCTTCAAGAATTTCTTTCACTGTTTCCACAAGTCATTTAGAGCACACATGACTTCACAGAATGACTATGCATTCCAGATTAATACAAAAATTTAACTGACAGTATCATTAGTGTTGTATCTGCTCCATGTAAATGAGTGAGTTGGTGCGAGAAATACAGTTACTGTTAAATGGTGCTTTGAGGATTATACCTAGACGTTTTAAATTTTGAATTGCTTTTTCTTAATCTCTTCTGCAATTTTCTCAGATTAATTAGC